TGGCCAGTCTGATGAGCCAGACCTTGTTGTCAATACTGCTGAGGCAGTACGTGAGATGTTCGCCAACCCAGCCACACCTAGATTTGATGATTATGAGATTCAGTTGGCTGATCCTGAAGGAGATGACATTGCTGGGGACACTAAGATGTCCAAGTTCCATAGGGAGTTTTCTTCACCCTCTCCTCTTTTACTCTTATTTTACTAATCATCGGGGACAATGCTTACTTTTATTCGGGGGATGGAGTTTATTTGACACATTGGTATACTTTGATACATTTGGTCTGTAATAACTTGGTGATATTCTTTCTTTTCTTATTTGTATTTATCTATCTTCTCTCTCTCTTATTATGTACATTCATTCTATCTTTTGTAGTTTTTGCTCATTAGCTTCTTTATCTTTGTTTTTGCTTATTAGCTTATTTATCTTTTCCATATTAGTTCTTGTTTTGTTAAGTAGATTCTTTTTATGCTTTAGTAGATAATAAGTCTTTGGTTTTCTTAACACCATAGTTCTTTCCAAAGGTAGTTGTTGTGTGAACCGGGTGACTCGTCCTAACGATGGATGGCGTTGACAACCTTCTTAAGGGAATGAGTCCATTTTTGTGTTTAGGTAATAATAGTAGTAGTATTAATGAATAAAAAGACCTAATCAAGTCATGATCGAAGAGTCAACCATGCTTCAATTGGTACCAACACACTTAACTACGTGCTTATGGTTAGAGATAAGGTTTTTGAAAGAAATAGCTCTAGTTAGTGACTTTGTGACTCTTGAGCTGACTTTGGCAATCACCGCGTTGTTTAATTGGACCGTAGTGATCTTTAAACTTGAATGTGGTCGTTGTAAGCCCTCGACTCTATCCTTTTTTACAATATAGTTGTGTAAGGGGTGAGATGAATTGTTGTTAGTCCAAGTATCCATGCGGAGGGTCTAGAACTTGCCCTGAATGTGTTTGAATGTGAAATCCTAAGTTTTGCTTGGTTTGAGAAGTGATTGCAGGCTTTTCTTGGCCCATTTGAGCCTTCTATTGCCAACCAATGTTGTTATCCCTAGTCAAACCCTTTGAGCCTCTAGTCTTTCTCATTTGATAACCATGTTATAAGCCTTTACCCATTTTGTTGTGACCCTCTCTTGGCACCCGGACTTTTCTTAATTCTCTTGTGAAATAAGTGGCTTAAAACATAAGTTTGGGGGAGAGATGAGAAATTTGAAAAAGGTATCAAGGCACAAAAAGAGAAAAGAAAGGATCTCTAGGAAAAGAGAAGGCAAGACAAGAAAAGAACAAAAAGGAAAATGCAAACCGTGAATAAGTGGAAGGGTTGATAGTCTTAAAAAGTGGTAATGATCTCTAGCATGAGCAATCAAAAAAGGAGAAAAAGAATAAAATGAACAATAAAGAGTGATGTTAAGTCTCGTTAATTCCCAATGAAAATAAAATGCCTCTAAGAATTGGCAATTGTGAGCCGAGAAATGAAAGTGTGGAGTGCTTAAGGAAAGGTGTAACCACTTACCCATATGATATCCTACCCTAATCTAAAAGCCTTAATTACAACCCGAAAGAAGTCCTACTTGATTTCAAACCGAGTGAGCTTACATTAGTGACGATCTACATGAGGAGCAAGCCTATGGTACTTGAAGCCGTACTTGTGACATTCTCTTGTGAGAGACGAGTGAACCTTTCATGAATCCTAAGATTGAGTGCTAATTTCTTAAGTGAGTTTGGCAAATGGAAAGTACAGGAGGAAGAGTTTGGAGTCCACCATGACCTACATGATAGAACAAGAGTCCTTGATGAGTAAAGTCAATTCTTAAAGCTCAAATGTCACATTAGAACTACATGTGCATGAATATTTGACTTGTCACCTTGTTGATAATGCATGAGTAGTGTGGGTAATTGTTGGTCCCAACTGATGTGCGAATAGCTCACCTTTGACTCGCTAAAACGACCCTTAACTCTAGGAGGTGGGAACTAATTTATTTGCTTGAGGACAAGCAAAGACTTAAGTTTGAGGGAGTTGATAAGTGGGGATTTTGACTACTTATTAGCACCTTTTTGCTTTTATTTTAGTCCGAAAGTATTGATTTATGTTTCCAAAACTAATGAAAATATGCAAATTGCAGGAATGTTGGAAGTTGGTCTTCCATGATGAAATCCGACTAAAAAAGGAGTGCTCTGAATCATAAGGCAATAAAGGATGCAAAATCAAAGAAGTGCGGTCCGCAGAAAAAAGTACGGACCGCATAATTCCATTTGCGGCCGCAAACAAGGTGAAAGAACCCAATGGGACTTTGGCCAATGTACGAACCACACATGAATTGTGCGGCCGTAGAACAGGGTCTGCTTTGACAAATGATCCCAAGTTTAGAGAGTGTGCAAAAGATCAAGTCTTGAAGCCTTGCTGAAGTGCGAACTGCACAAAAATTGTGCGGCCACAGAAGATGCTTCACAGCCGCAATCCAGAAATGTGCGGCTGTAGAATCCAAGCTCCTGCCAACTGAAGAAATCTGCAGACTGCACATGGAATTGTGCGACCGCAGAACCTCCCGAGGGGCATTTTTGTCAGCGAATTTTGGGCCACTATAAATAGACGAGTTTCACATTTTTAGGTCAAGTTTCGAAGTGTGAGCTGCTATAGCCGTTACATTTTGTCATTTTAGGAAGTTTGTGATTATTTTAGTGTTTAAACATTATATTTTATCATTTTAATCTTTGATTATGGGTTTAATTAGTATTTCTTTTTTATTTTCTTCAATTTCCACTATGAGTAGCTAGATTCGTACTAGGGTTTGACCCAACCATAGTGTGTAAACCTTATGAGTACTTAATTTAATGCTTCTTTATGATTGAGTGTTGATTATTTAGCTTAGTTCATGCTTCAATTTTAGAATTAATGGTTGCAAATATTGATTCATGCCTTTTTGACTTAGCCTCTACTTGAGAAAGAAGGACCTAGTCTAGGATAACTTGGCTAACAAAGAATTGGGTAAATTGAAAATTTGATTAGCCTAATTAAATGGTTCAAACTAGGGATAGTAAGAACCCGACTTGAGCTACTATCAACTATTTTGTTTGATACCCATTTGGATATGAGAAAGCCAAATTGGGCAAAATCACTCTTTGACCGAGAGGTATTGAATGAGTAACGTAGAGTTGAGAGCTATAATATACCCCAATCAACAAAACAAGTATTAACGTATTTAAACTATTAGGCGAAAACCTAGGTTATGGTCATATCCCTCGGCTTTTTAACTATTTGAAAAAAGACCAAAAACAATCATTCGCTTCTAGATTCTTATCTTATCTTATAATTGTTAGAGTAAAAGTAGAATTAGAAATCAAAACCTTTTTGTAGAAGTGCAAATTTAGTTAATCCATTCAATCTCGTCAAGTGTATACTCCTAACACCCATTGTAACTCCCCGTAAAAATTGACCCCGATTCTTGTTGGGCACTATTTTTCCAATGACCGTTTTCACTTACTATTTCGTGCGGATTGGACGTGGATCAGTATTCTCTAAAACCGTGTGCTCATTATCAAGGAGTAAGAAATTATTTTTTTGTCTGAACCGGATTAGTCGCCGGAGGAATTACAGTGTCCCGAGCTTTGTGAGTTTCCTTTTTCTCCATGTCAATGACATTGAGAGTCTTTTGTGTTTATATTTAAGTATAAGAGTATTCAAATACTTACCTATAGTGGCTTCAAAAGTCTTGATATTAATACCTGTTGCAGGAGAAACTTCCATTGGCTCAGACTTTGAATGTGGACTTTTCTTCTTCTTTTTCGCAAAAGACAATACTGTTTGCCATTCTTCTCCATCTGTACACTGAATAATTTGCTGCGAGGTTTTCCTGCTAGTACCTTCTTGTGATGGAGTTGAAATTGAGTAGGGACAATATATGTTCAGATGTCCTAATCTGCCACATATTTTTACATAGGAAATGTTCTCCTTCATATAAGATCTGTTGCTTGTGGGATCCAATGAAGATGTATGGTTTAACTGGTTGACTAAGAGGTATTTCAACACATAGTCTGGCAGAGCGTCCTCTTAGCGTAGCTGATGTGCAAGCATCAACTTTTAACAAACGACCGATTGTGTTCCTCCGGAAGTTGAGGTAGTTGAACCTAGATAGCTGAAAATAATTGTTTGGCTTGAGAGGCTACAAAATTTAGTTCCCATTTTTGTACCGAGAGGAAATGACCATTAACAAACCAATGACCATTTTGTAAGGCTTTAATCATATTTTCCTCTTTGCTAAATTTAACTATGTAAATAATCTGCTCCAAGGTCAATCAATGGAAAATTTTCTGTAGGCATCCATAGCTCTTGGATCTTTTTCTTTAGGTATTGATGGAGGATTCACTACTAAAAAACAGCGTATTTCGTCCGCTATTTCCGACCGAATTCCGACCAATTTTAATTGATCGGGAAAACGATGGTTGCAAACGTGTACCGACCAAAATCGGTCGGAAATTTCCGACCGAATTCGTTCGGAAACATCAAAGCGTTGACTGACTGACAAACTTTAATTTCCGACCGAAATCGGTCGGAAACAATTAAATTTTTTGTTTTTAATTTTTAAATTTCCGACCGAAAACGGTCGGAACTACTATTAATTTTTTTTTAATTTTCATTTTCCGACTGAATTCGGTCGGAAATTTAAAAAAATAATAATTTTATTTATTAAATAATTAGTTATAAATTGTAATAAATTATTAATTTATTTTAAAAAAATAAATATAAATTCATAATTTCCGACCGAATTCGGTCGAAAATCTGGGTAAAAACTGGGCAGAAAATGCCTATTTTTTAGCTACACTACCTGCCAATTACAACCAATATCCATCCTATAATGGCAGCATTACATTGCTGCCATTCAACCATAATTAATCAACAATAATGAATATACTAACAACAACAACAACAATTAACTAACAAAAACTATTAACACTAATAACCATTATCTAACAACAACAACAACTAATAACACCCACAACAACTAGTAACAACCACAACAACAACTACTAAAATGTTCAATAACAAAATAACAATATAATCATCATTCAAAACTAGTCTCAACTAAATATTGACAAGTTCAATACTTTGTTTAGCAATACACACCATTCAATAAGTTTTTTTTATCCAGCATCATGTCCATTTTCACTCCTAGAACCTTCATCGTCGGCACATGGGGAAGGCTCACGAGACCGCAGAATGGGAAAAACACCACTAGCAAGAAGATTAGCCAGCTGACCTTGAAGGAGATTAAATTGTCTGTCCCTCCTTTCTAGCTGAACTTGAAGGGTACCAAATTGTTCATCTCTCTCTTTTTTTCTTTAGCCTTTGTCTCTTCAAGGTCTGCTATCATTTTTGCGGTCTTCTGTTCCATAGACGATATAGTCGACCTATCAATCGTCTCGCCTTGGGCGAAAATCCCTATACTTTGCAATCCAGCCATGTAGCGCCGAAATGATTTATCTGGAAGACCGTATGATATCCCCTTTTTAGGACCATCGACAACATTCAACCATATCCTCTGCGCTTCTTCGTCTGAAATGGGCGGTAGCTCGCCTTACTCATTCGGTGGCAAGCTCTGAGTGTACTCCTCCACATTAATCTTGTAGCGACCCTTTATTTATAAGATAGAAAATTACTAACTATATAATATTATAAACATTTATAGTAGTTATGAAACTTACATGTGTAGTCTCCGTCCGGTCCTCAACCCATCTAGTTGGATCTGTCGGTGCCTTCTTCTTCCGGATGTGAGTCTCCATGAAGAACTCATCATGACTCATCTTCATCCCATATTTTTTTTTCCCTACAAATATAATAAAACGTGTTAACGAAATTTACATATATAAATATAGTTCCATAAAAATAGACCGAAATATTTTAAGGAATTACCAGTTGTCTCCTCGTATCCCCCATGCTCCTTGAACCCAGACAGTGCAAGGAGCCACCCTTCTCAGATGCTCGGGCTTTTTTTCCCAGTTCACTCTGCTTCTCGAATTTCTCGGTGGTCCAATACCTCTGCAGATCCTCCCATAAATCCAGTAGAACCCATGAAGGCTTCTTGTTAACCTTTCGACCGAAGCAGAAGGAATTAGAGAGTCTCTTACGACATTTTTACTCCCAATTTGCATAAATTTTACGGTTATACCGGTCCTCCCAAGCACACTTAATCTGCAAATAAAGTATGTAACGTTAGATAAAAATATTATTAATACAATGCTAAAATAGATAAGAATTGTATTAAAACCTTAAATTAGTTGAATATTTATTGCACGAGATCCTCTGGAAAGTCACTCCAAGTCGGATAGGGTGCATTATACAACCCGCCAAGAATATCAGTGATTATCTTTGTAACTTGATGATTAGGAATGAACCTGCAACATAACAATTACATTAAATAAACAAGAGTTGCTATTCCCTTCCCTTAGTGGACGACTAACGACCTCTAACTATTCATAAAAATATTCTGCCTCTTCGTTAGGAGGATGTTCAACACTTTCATGGGTTTCAAAATCGTAGTGCATCCCAAAAGCATCCGCAACCATTTCATGGTATCTAGGATATTGAATGCTATTCCCCACCGACCTACTACTTTCACCAACAACTACGTTATGAAATACACCATCACATGAAATAAATGAAATAAAGGGAAATATAATTAAATAAAATAAAATTAGCTAACCCTAGCATTAATCATAATTAAAATTAGTTAAATTAAAAGAATTAAACCCTGACATTAATCATAAATCATAATTAAACTAATAGAATAAATAATTAAAAGAATTAAACCCTAGCATAATCATAATCAATATAAAATTAAAGAGAAATATAATTAAATAAAATAAAATTAGCTAAACCTAGCATTAATCATAATTAAAATTAGTTAAATTAAAAGAATTAAACGCTAGCATTAATCATAAATTATAATTAAACTAATAGAATAAATAATTGAAAGAATTAAACCCTAGCATAATCATAATCAATATAATTGAAAGCTATAAAATTATCTAACCCTAGCATAATAATAATCTTCTAACATAGATAATACTAGCATAAACATAATCAATAGGAGTAAACCCTAAATCTAATTAATCATTAACTAAACTCTTGTTTATACAATAGAAGAATTAAAATTATTTAAATTAAAAAATATAGATAACTAACCTTGAAAGAGAAGTGAGGGAGTTTGATTTTGGGTGCTAAAAGCAGTGGGTGGTGGTGGCGGAGGAAGCAGTGGTGGCAGCCGGCGGCCGAACAGTGGCGGGGGAGGGGAGGGAGACGATGAGGGGCTTTGATTTTGGGTGAGAAGGGAGACAAGAGTTGATTTTGGGTGTAGTTTTGGGTGAAAATGCAACTGAGTGGAGAAGATGAGAAATGGAAGAGAGATAGAGAAAATGAGAAAATGGGGAAGAAGCCCGTCCCTGACAGATCTAAATTGGAAATTTCCGACCGAAATCGGTCGAAAATATTAAGTGACATTTGACCGTTTGACCATGCCATTTCCGACCGAAATCGGTCGGAAATGTTTAGTTAATATTTAATAATTAATTAACTACTTATTATTTATTATAAGTTATATATATATCAAATAAGTATTAAATATTATTTATTTAAAAGCTCTTTATTATTTACACACACAAATATATAGTATAGTATAATATATATATATACTAAGTGTATAGTATATAAGCTATATTCGATATAACAGTAGCTATATTAAGATGTCTATATATATATATATATATATTATAGTATAGTATAGTATAGTATATATAGTATAGTATTAGGGTTTAAGGTTAGGAGGTAGTTGAGTCTTGTCTTATTTCGTACCGTTGTGAGACTAGTCTGGTAGGGTTTTTGTCTAAGCTAGCTAGAGGCAATGTCGTGTCTTACTATTTTGCGTTTCAGTGTCAGACCTATTTACTAGCTATCGTTTTTGTTTTTGCTTTTTTTCGTTTTTGCTTTGCATCTTTCTTCTGTGTATAGTATATAGATGTGTATATATATATATGTGTGTGTGTGTGTGTGTGTGTGTGTGTGTGTGTAGTATATAAGCTATATTCGATATAACATTAGCTATATTAGGATGTTTATATAGTATAGTATAGTATAGTATAGTATATATATATATATATATCAAATAAGTATTAAATATTATTTATTTAAAAGCTCTTTATTATTTACACACACTAATATTATTAAATTTATATTTTAATTTGTATAAAAGCGTTTTTCCGACTGAATTCGGTCGGAAATATTGAATTATAATTATTTAGTTTGGTTAATTAAATATATATAATTTTTGTCTTGGGCGGGAAACAAAAACTTCAAACTTTCCGACCGAAATCGGTCGGAAATTCTGAATTTTTTTTAATATATAATTATTTTTGTACATTATATACAAGTATGACCAAATATTTGACCAATTTTCGATCGAAATCGGTCGAAAAATTGGAAAAACTTTAATAAATAATTATTTTTGTAAATTATATACAAGTATGACCAAATATTTGACCAATTTCTGACCGAAATCGGTCGGGATTTTTATTTTTTTGCTGTCAGAAAATTTTTGTTGACTTTTGCGACCAAATACTCTTATTTCCGACTGATTTCAGTCGGATTTTTTTCCGACCGATTTCAGTCGGATTTTTTTCCGACCGATTTCGATCGAAAACCTAGGACGGGAATCACCTGATTTCTGGTAGTGATTCTCTTACCTAACAACTTGATTATTACCGAATATCTCCATGGCTGGTAAATCCGACGCATATCTTCAGCTGATAGGTGCACTTGAAACTTATCTTTTGTGGCCTCTTGTCCAGTTGTGCTTGAGCATTCTGGCATAGCCGCTTCCATTATATTTTCTGTTGATTGCATAGCAATATCATTGATTAGGACGTCAGCTAGAAGCTTATCTTTGAACGAAGGATTATTATTCACAGGGGCCCGGAGTTTCAAGGTACACCGCTTCCTCTAAAATCTTTACTAATTATTTATATATAATTCAAATAAAACAATAAGAAAACAGTAAAATAAAATAAGTGATGCCACTTGTCACACAGAGACGCCTAGCTTATCTAGTCACAGGGCTGTGAGTTCAAAACTGCGTAGCCTCATTCTATGTTTTAATACTTTTGTACTACTTGACTAGCACGATACATTTTTTAAATTGGAGGGATGCTGCATTGTAAGTTGTGTTATTTCTTTTTTCTGATTGTTTTTTTAAATATGATATTATTATAGTAACTTTTTTATTTGTTCACATCTAAAATAATGATACCGTTTATAAAAATTTATGCGTACGCTATAATTATTCATGGTAGATAGGTTTGTGGGTTTAGTAGTAATATCAGGTTGCTTTGGGGGAGGGGGTGGGGTGGTG